GTTATTAGACAAATACTAATTCAAAATAAAGGTAAACCTTCATTCTCAAATTATTAAAAAATATAAGTGAAATAAACGATGTGAAAATATTTATGGCAGTATGCTCATTTCAAAGCTGAGCCAACAACAATCTTCAAAAGTCCATTAACAATCATAAAATTAGTAGAATGTTCCTAATCTATTTGAATGATGAGTGGTTTCTGCAATCTGGGTTTGTTAACAACATTCAGCTAACTCATGATGAAAATTAAAATTTTACTCAATATTTACTTATTATAAGCATTTTATGTTCCAATATGCCCTAAAGGCACAGTTAACCAACAAATGAGCAACAGTTGCTTCATGAACAAAGGCAACAAAACAGATGACCTAAAACAAAGATAAAATGTGTATATTTAACACATTGACTGCTACACTAGAAAAAAATTTTTCCTTGTGGCCACAGTGTTTTATATAAAAATAGAATAAAAACTTTGAAAACAAATAAAACATTAATGAAAAACAAAATTTATTGACTTCTATTCATTTAATCCACATCTTTAGAATTAATTTGTCAATATTAATTGTAACAATAAGAACAACAACAAGTAAGATTTTCACAAACCAGCTGCAGGATTTTGCCCAGGTTTTGCTTCACGAGGCCCTGGGCTGAAAACTAGCATGAGTTAAATACAACTCACATGGCAGTTGATGTGTTCATGCCTAACAAATGACAATGGCCAAATAAAGTTTTTATAATGAAGAATGATAGGTTCTTCTTGACTTTTGCACTATCCTTTTTTGAATGTTTATCATAAAACTGTTCCATGGTACTAGCTATTATTCAAAAACATACTAGGACTACAAAGTATTTTCTGTAAGGTCGGTAGATACACTCCAGGATATGTAAGTAGTCAACAAATATCATATGATAATTTTCTTATGAATCACATCAGTCTGCTACCATCTAAACAAAACCCAGCTACCATAAACATTTATTCACCTTAAATAGTTAATTTATCTCAAAGTAACTGGCATTTTATATTCTAATATATAAATTGTAGCTAGCCTAAAAGTTTGTTATTACTGCTTTAATTCTATGCCTAGGAATTTAAAGTGGCATTTATTGTTGTTACCAATTAAATGTATATTACTTGTAAACTACACTATCATACCTACATACATGGCATAAATGTAAATATTGGTTTAAGAGTCAATAAAATAATTTTCATCAAATCATTTTTATTCAACAAAAATTTGGATATGAATTGAGTGTTCTTTAAGAAACATTTTTCAATTCACATTTTATATGTAGGATCAGAAATATATGAACTATTAATACTCCTTTTGAAAAACATAATAGGAAAAAAGTTACATTTTAGATAAGTAAACAGGAAATGGTAAATCTTTCCATAGTATGGTCTCATATCATAATAGCAAAACCTAATTAACAGCTTTAATTTAGTACATAAATTTGTACCTCACCTAATAATTCAGGTACTTTATATGGAGACAGGATCAAGTTTGAAACTACTTTCAAGACATCTCTAACTTTCAAGTAGATCAAAAGCATGACTTAGAAGAAAGCTGCATAATAAAAATCTGTAAATATTTTTGAGATGAAAAAATGGCCAGTAATATTATAATTTTAAAATTTACTTTAATGCCTCAATTTCCAAAGTATGTAAACACTAAATATATCTATGTGTGAGAAAAATATCTTCTAACATAGCCATACATTTATTCCTTCCCTTCTTATTATCACCACTCCAGTACATAAATTATTTTTCTACCACCAAATGCTGTACTGCTTTAAATGATCTCAGGTTATTAGTCTATTTTCAAGTTGCCAGGAGAGTATTCACTTGAAGTCTATTATCTATCTACTTTGAATGAACTCAAGTCAATTCAAAGGTTATACTTTTCTGTATCTTGAGAGTCTTTTAGGATTCCTTTTCTAAGAAAATTTCACAAGTTATCAGTTGCAGTTGTGTTACAACTACTAATATCAAAAAAAAATCTTAACCTTCAAAAGAAAGGTCATTCATTTAGGTAAATCTTCCTCTTCTTGTTTATACATGTTGATGACCTCAACTGCCCTGAAATCGGTCTCAAGAGATGGATTTCTTGGAAACTTAGACTTTTGGAGCTGGAAAGGACATTAGAGATCATCTACTCCAACCCCTTCATTTTATGGTTGAGGACACTGAGCCCAGAAAAGATAGCTGAGTGACTCTGGGCAAGTTTCCTACCAAGTGGCAGAGCCAGAACTAGGAGCCAGGTCTCCTGACGCCTAGTTAGGAGCCAGGTCTCCTGACTTTTAATCCAAGGATCTTTCCATTACACACACTGACTCTCTATTCTTTGAGGCTGTACAGACTGATCAAGCTCCTTTGTAAATGATCATTCTCACTAAATAAAATGCCTTTGATGACAAATCTTGGGACTTTGGAACATACCAGTAAAATCAGGCTACTCTAATTAAACTCATCCCATGCCTAGAACATCTCAATACTTTCTCATTGATCATACTGTGAATTAGAAACTCTTTAGTATGGTCTTCAAAACAGTGTAAGATCTACCCCAACATGTCTCATTAAATTCTCTCCCTCTTTCTATGCTACCACTAGCCTTTTTTCAGTTCTTCCAATGTACCAAATTCCTTCCTACTTCAGTACATGCCCTTCTCTCCCCCAGAGTTTCTTATCCCATACTTTGTTTGGCTAGTTGCCAGTCATTCTTTTTAGTTCTTAGTTTCAATATAAGTTCTCTTAAAGAGGATGTCCCCAAGCCCTCTGATTACTTGCCCTACCCTTAACTCTTTTATATGCACTCTAATCGCAGTCTATCTTTTAGTGTTTATAAGAAGTCAAACAAATGGATTACATACACAATGACTTATTTAATGTGCTTCTTTGCTAATCTACTCCAAGCTTTGTAAAAATAAGTACTACGACTATTCTTAATCATCAGTTTTTAACAGATTGTGTCTGGAACACAATAATCATAATAGTTATTATTTACTGCTTGATTACTACATGTCAGATCTTGTTCTAAAAATGATGATCTCATTCAAATCTCCAACAATCCTATAAGTTTGGTTTTTTATTGTACTTATTTTACAGATTATACAACTGAGGCAATAAGTACAATAAGACACTTGCCCAATGTCACATAGTAAGTGATAAAAAAGTTATTTCAATTGGAGCATTCATATTCCAACGCCCATTTTTTAACCAATACCTTATGCAGCTGCACACCCAAATACTAGCTGAATAAATGAACGAACTTATGGACAAATCAAATTAATAGTTTCACTGAAATATATAAATGGAATAATAACCTATATAGTATTTACTATATGCCAGACATTATTCTAAGTACTATACATATTTTAATCATTTACTCCCATAGTGACCCTACTAAGTAGATACTACTATTATTACCAATGTATAGACGAATAAAATGAGGCCACAGACATTAAGTAACTTGCCCAAGATCACATTGCTAACAAGTGGAAGAGCTGGGGTTCAGACACAGGCTGTTTCCAGAGTCTATGTTCTTTACTTCTATTCTATACTGCCATAGTTGTGATTGCCCATATCTAAAAACAGACAGTTCAAAGTTAATGAGTTACTAATATAACAATTGTTAGCGAACTCCAAAAAGACAAAAAATAAGAAATCCATCTGATTAGGCTAAAAAATAACTCTCTTTATCTAATGGAGATAAAAGATCTTCCTTTGCATGGATGAATTACCAAAAGGTGGTAGAATCCTCCTTCTAGTGGTTACAGTACTATGATAGCATGAAGGGTCTTGCTGAGGAGTATCTTATTTCTGACCTCAGTACCCCTTGGCTGAGCACCCTTGTGAAGGGCACAACTTGCACACTCATATTTGGTAGCCTTGGTTAGACTACAACCAGCTACCAAGATTGTGCACAGAGTGAAGAAGAAAGAAACATAGGATAAAGACACTCTAGAATAAAGACTAAAAGATAAATAAATACAAAAGCCATGTAAAACTTCAGAGTCATGGTTAGCAAGGAAAGCTCTGCTAAAATGTGCTAAAACCTTGCCAAACCTTGCTAAAATTTCTGATGAACAAGGTACATCTCACTAATCTTTTCAGTTTTATCTCCGACAAAGTGAGGATAACAAGCTTACCTTGACAGATTCTTTAAATAATCAAATAGCATTGGTGAAATCTCTTCTGCAAATCATAAAGCACCATACAAATTCTATGCTTGCTCAATATTCAAATCTTACATTTTATAAACTCTATTAGGGTCCTTTCCTCAGGTCTTAAGTCAATTTTATCCTCCATTAAAAAAAAAAAACTATTAGTGGAAACAGTGTCATTATGTATATCTCTTAAATGTATGATTTTATTTTGCACATGGTTGAAATTTTATCCTGTGAATATGTCAGCATGATAGAAATAAAAAAGGAGGCATTTTTAGCATGAGGTAGCATTTTTCTCAACAACAATACTGTAGACTGGAGCTTAAAAACAAAAGCAAATTGGAAAGAAAAATTTTAGTTCAAGGTTGGATGATTATAGTCAGTTCATTTGGACAAAAGATAGATGTTTTTTGTTCCTGAGTATGAGTATTCAGCAGTTTTAGAAGGTGTGCTATAAAAGTAGGGCAAAGAAATCCAGTTTTAGAAGGCAGATTTCACAGGGACTGTGGCCTGTGTACAATGTCAAAAAGATAGGTCAAATTGGACAGTTGCATGAAAGGGGAGCCAAAAATAAATCAGACCAGCATATAGATGAAATAAACAATTTGACCACATATTTCCACATTTCAACACATGATATTGGAATTACTAAGCACAGTTAATGTGAGGGACATTGGGAAATTCATTTAAATTTTCCACATGCTTCAGGTTTCCCAGATGTAATATCCAAATAATGAAAGTCTTTCTTTCCAAGGTGCTATCACATGCTTAGGTGAAGGAAAAATAAAACAAAATCTGTTATCTTTTCTTACAAAACGAGATCTTATAACCTTACCTAATAGATTGGTTAACCACAAGGCCAGATCTTCTTTCATTGGTAGCAAATTAGCTTCATGTCTGCTGGCCAGCCATTGGCTATACTGATGCATATCAGAGAGGCCAGGTCCACTGCGTACCTTTGAGCTCAGAGCAGTGCACATTATTTATCCACTTGTAATACCTATTTTGGAAAGAAAAGAACAATTGTTTTTTATACAGACCTCTCTTGTTAAAATTTTGCCCTTATGGCATAGTAATGAACCAGAGCCGTGGGTTGTTGGATGACAGGTCAGTTTATTAATGATCAAACCCCATGAAACACTATTTGCTTTATCTGTACTGGCCCTCTCACTTTTGGCCAACCACTTGGTAGGAAACAGCAGCAAGCAAAGGTCAAATAGAAAATCAAACAATAAGTTCTAAGCTTGTGTCAAACTGGAAAGAACCAGCTTCTAAAGCAAGAAATTTCACTTATATTAACACAATAAAAAGTTACAGAATTTGTTAACTCCCAAGTTGTTGACTTCCATTGTTTGAGTTAATTTTTGAAACCATAGATTTCCACAGGATTTTAGGACTGAGCACTAGCAGTGACAGTATTGCACAACTTATTATAAACACATGGTCATTACTCTTAAGACTATTGCCCAAAAGATTAAGCACATGGTTCTTTGGAGAGCACCAAGAACCCCTGGACTCACAGTTTAGAAAATAGGGCGGGGGATAGGGGAGGAGTTGCATTCAAAGAATCACTACCTACATTTCTCTCTTATAGTCAAAGAAAACAAAAACCAGAGAGGATGAGTGACTTCACCTACATCATATAGTTAGATCATGGCAGAACTAGGCTTGAATTGGGTCTTCACACTGCAATATTACTACTCTCTCAATAATGGCACATTTTTACAAAGTATAATAATCAAGAATCCATATTGATAACCCAAGAGTTGTACCATAATTCTAACAAATACTATCAGAGGTTTTTATTTGTCCTCTACTGCCCCCTCTTTCTTGCTTTTTATCTTTCCACTTTAATCTTTTTTACATACTTGGTTTTATTTGCAATCATCTTTAGAGTAGAAGTGTTTAAATATTGTATATCTATATGTAATAATTCAATATTTATGGTATTTCATTATTTCAATATTTATGGTATTTTAAAGTTAGCAATATAAGTAATTCTATAAGTAGCAATATAAGCAATATAAGTAATATTAATATAATATAGCAATATAAGTAATATTAATATAATATATTCTCTTTGGGGTTTTATTCTTTGAAACTTTGTATAGTATTCCTTTCCAGTTAATCTCAAAGTCTAATTCACTTAGCATAAGTTATATTCTTAAAAAAAAAAAACCTGATATTTAGAAAAATGCAAAACATGACCATCTCCCAAATATTTTGCTGTAGTATTGGAAAAGACCATTGAGAGTATGAGTAAACACACAAAAAGTGTCATACAATTTAAGAGCATAATTTCATTTCTAATGCCATTATTCTTTTGAGTATTTTTTTTAAATTACCATATATTTTCTTTGAAAACATTTTTCATGCATGTATCTAGTCAACCAGTGCAAATGTGAGCTGCTTTCAACACACCTTGTCATAGGTTACTAAACTGTCAGTGTAGGAATTGGAACATCATCACTGTTTATTCTTTCACAGTTAATAATAACATTATTTATCTAAGTCTTAAAGTTTTCTCCAAACCATGTGATTAAACACCAAAAACCTAAAATACTGTTTTGTCCCCATTCTTCTAAAAATATATCAAGTCCTAGGAAACAAAACATTTCCCTGTAGCTAATTAGGATTCCTACAGGTCAGCTCAGCTCAGAAACAAACATTTAAATAATAAAGTCATAATGTTTAACAACATGATTCATACATTTAAATAACTAATTGAAATCTTAAAAGGGTTACCTCTAAAATGTCTTTCTTCTCAAGACACAATCTCTCCCACTACTTTCCTGAAAGTGAGATGCCGTAGTTCAGTAACTTTACCTACACTCTATTATGTGCTCTGCAACTTCCATTTAAGCATCAGAGTCCTATTTGCTCTATAAAAAGCAAGAAGACACCTCGGATTCTTAAGCTCATTGTCCAGCAAAGAATTCATCAAGGGATAGTTTACAGTAAGTCTAATGGCATGTAACAATTCCAATGAGCCAGAGGGACACAATCCTTCCCCTCAATACTTCCACTAAACAGTAAAGTTTTTATTTTCCTTGACAGTGGCACATTTATTTCTCATGTACTCTGTCCTGTGTACTGCCAGAAATGTAATTTGAACTATCTTCTAATATTTACAGATGATCATTAAGTGAAAACAATAAGAATAATTAACCAATTTTATTTTGCTACTTTGTATATAATAGGAATTTTAGTGGTGAGAAAAAGCAAGAACAGAGTTACATTTTCTCAGGGGCAAAAGTGACAGAAAGAAGGCTTAGTGGACAATTAACAAGCTGTAGAAACTAAACATCTGACTAACATGTAGAAACCTAAAGTCACTGTCATAGATTGGGACTCTTCTATTTAAGTCCCTTCTGAATAGAATTAGGATTGTCAATCCAATTTCTCCTGATCCTTTTTTCATATTTCAAATCACCACCAAACTGAGCATGACTCCATGGCTTAGCTGAAAGTCACTACCTGGAGGTCTTGGATTTAGATTTGGCTGAGACATGAACATGAACATGGAAATGGCTCCAGCTAGCAGGATCAAAATTTGGAATATGGAGAATTTACCCCATGGCAAAGTAGTTTCCAACTGAAATGAAGAAATTGTGGTGAATAAAGGTCAAATAAATTTATAATATTATCCAGAAGAAAAGATTACTACAGAATTGTACCCTTCTTAGAATTTTTAACAAATGTTTAATCAATCTGGATGACTTGAATTGCCTATAAAGAATAAACTATAACAAAATAGATCACTTCAGTTCTTTTGAATTCATTCAAAAATTTTCAAAATCACAAGAGATGTCCAGGGTAGCTTTTAAAGATAGGACATGAAATGATTAATGATCCACTAGACTTGAAGAAAAAAATTTGGTTAGGGAGAAAGAAAAACATGTTTTTGTAATATTTCTAAAGACTGAAAGATGTTTCCAATAAAATTTATATAATCTAAATATCTCAAAATCTTGATAACTTTGGTAAATATTAAAGTCAATCACTTTGGAAAGAGGCATAAAGACTGAAATGCTTCTATGGCTCCTTCAAGCTGTCTGAGTGAATAACTAAAAGTGGATAACTCAACCCTCATGGCTTGGAATTCAGAACAATAAAATTTAAAGGGAAAAACATGCAGAAACTTAATACAAAATCCTTCAAAGACTATGCATGTATTTTTCTTTCTTTCTTTCTTTCCATAGTAGAACTGATTCTGGAATAACAATTATGAATACGATGAGACTTGAACTAGCCCAGGGGAAGAAGAAAAAAATTAATGACTCCATAAGTAAAATATCACATGTTTAAAGACTGTCTAGTTTGTTATTTCGGAATTCCAGCTGAAGACATCATAGTTCTGACTCTGAAGAAAAAGTATTCTTCCATGCCACCTAGAGGTGTGCTTTAATTATGACCAAGATGATTTCTGGCTTACCTCTAGACTTTGCAGACATGTTAGAGAAAAAGTATTGCAATATTACATAGACAATAGATTAGGAAGAAAAATAAGAATTAAATGATAAACATTATATATCACTACTATCTGCTATGAGATTCCACTAAGAAGCCTGACTCATGGATAGAATGCTAGAATTGGAATTAGAAGGCAGGTTCATATAATATCTCCACTACCTAGACATTAAGGAGCTAGTCTATTCTAGTCATATGACTTTTCTCTTTGTACTTGAGTTCTTCAGTATGTACAATGGAGGCTAACACCTTACAGATAATTTTGAGGATTAAATATTTATGCCAATGCTTGGCATATATTTTACATTCAATATATTTTATATTAGTGAAATCTAAATCATCATCAGAAATGTGTCAAACTAAACTTCCATGGACTTATCTTCAAAAGAAAAGCAATGCTATGACAAAACAGGAATATTATATAGAATTCTAAATCATTAGAAAAGGACAAAGGACAGGGGGAGAAGTGCAAACAGATAAAAAATAGTAATGATATAATACGATAAATAATGGAAAATTCAAAGTTTTCTTCATATTGAGAAGGATGCTGCCTCCAAGATGCTGATTAACCAGTTAAAGATCATAAGCTATTAACAGAGAGAAGTGCTATACCTCTCAAACATGAAAGGGTATCACTACCACCCCCCTCATCCACACATACACACACACAGTCAACTGTGGCCATTCAAAACAGTAAGTCCAAATCAACCCACAGTCAAGAGGCCCATTTCTAAAGGTAATCTTTGCGTTGACCTTTGCAGCATTGACCTCACCTCTGTTCAGTTGTGTTAAGGGTGTCAAAAATGCAGATACAAAGTTTGCAAGTTAATAACACTATATTTTAAAATTAAAAACAAACAATGCCCCAAACCAAGCACCATTTCAAACTCTGGAAAGAGAAAAATGCCATCTTTCAAGCTGAACTCAAAGACTAAAGCAACAAAGAAGATTCTAGAAGGCTTTATTTCTCCATTGTGAGTTCTTTACTCCTTTGTTATTCATTTTGGCTAACCAATAATATCTCTACAAAAAGGTATTTTCAACCAATGTCATGAATGCAAAATCTGAATCTAAGGGTCTAATCAGAAAATAAAGTCCACAATTTAATCAGAAAGGCAATTTCAGGTCTTGTAATGGGACCTCCACCTCTGGCTCAGTGAAGCAACTTATTCACAAATATAAAAGCACCAAGCATAAAGCAAAATAACACTCAATGCTAGTTTATCTAATTACATAATAAAATCTTTAAACTCAACAAACTTAGATCTATGTAGTCAAATTCATCATTATAAATAAGGGACTGGTAGCCTAAAAAGATATTTTGCCCAAAGTAACAAGATTATTTAGTTAGAGTAATTAAAAGTGTCCTACTTTGCTCTCCGGTGCCCAACTTTGTGTAATGCTAACTCTCTTCTAGGCATCTCTTTCTTATCTCATAGTTCAATGATAATTTGTTTTTAATGGAATCATGGTATGAATACAACAAAAATTCCTTCTCAAAACATGAATAGAAAAACTACGTGAGTTAGTGAGAACTGATTTTCTATATTTTCATGATATTGGGGATATTTTTTCAAGTTTTTTTAATCCTACTAAACCATCCCTCCAAACAATTTAGCACAAAACCCTATCAGATTAGCTTGGGACATAGTTTGATTGGAAAACCATCTGGCAGTTATGAATCAGACTATTTAAGGGACTTACATCAAAATTTCATATAAGTTTATTAGGTAATCCTTAATTCATAAGAAAATTTCGGTTTTCTGTATATATAATACAAATATTTCTATTACTTATTTATAAAATAGTTAAGAGATAGCACAGTTCTATATTCTGTTGAAATATATATGTGTACGTATATATGATGGTATCATGGGAAAAACTAGTAAAATCTCAATGAATTGAGTCTGAAAACATTTATACAGAAAATTATGCAACCCACAGTCAAGAGGCCCATCCCTAAAGGTAACCTTTGCTCTCATCTATAGCATTGACCTCACCTCTGTTCAGTTGTGTTAAGGGTGTCAAACAACGCAGACACAAAGTTTGCTCGTCAATACAAGCATCTCACTCATTTTGACAAAAGATATTTTCTACTTGCACTCCAGTTCATTTCTCTAGTCAAAAAAACAATGAGTGAAAAACCTTGATAGTTGTTCAGGAGAAATTAAAAGAAGCATTTGGATCCCTTTTGGGCCTCAATATCAGTACACAAAGATACCAAAATATTACAACATTCCCAGCAGTTTTAAACAAGAGTCTCCCTGTAAACAAATCGTTAATAGCCTCACCATTTGCTTTCAACCAAGGTAACTTTAGTTTCCCAAAGTTTCCCAGAGTCTACAAAACAATGCAGACTTCCAGTCTTGAAGCAAAATTTTAAAATACACAACATAATTTAGGGTTAATATACCACCCAACATTTCACCATACCTACAAGTTTAAGGTTTAAACTAAAGTTTCTTAACAAGATACTAGAAAACTTAGGGGCAATCACATGACCTTTAGCACAAGGTGAAAGAATTTTTGCCACGTGCATTTATTTCCCAGTAAAGCTCAGTCCACATCACCAAAGTATGATGTTTAGCAATAAAGTAAACAAATAAGCCCAAACTTTAGTAGCATATAGACTGAAATTCAAGCTATCTTACTGTGCAAGAGACCACTCAGGCAGCCCTGTGGGAAAGCTTCCATGTGCATTGCAAAGGCTCAATGTCCCTCATCCATCTGTCCCTTACCTTCTCTTAGACAGTCAAAACCCAGACGCCCATGTTGGAGAGGACCACCAAAGCCACCACCTTCTGAGCAGTTAGAGGGAAGCATTCCTCGAGAAGAAGCTCATTGATCAATTTCAAAACCAAGCTGGGCAAATCAGATCCCAGAGGTAGTTAATCAGTGTTCACACTGCTAAGAGGTTGGGGAAAAGAAGCAATGAGCAAGCACAAGGGCTTGTTCTCTGCTTTGACTCTGTGAATCTCAAGGGACAGGTGAAAAGAAAAGGTGGATTTCCTCTGCCTGACTGGCACATCCAACCTGTCTGAGCCTTTATTTTAACACTAGGATGCCCAATGGGTGTTCCTGTGCACATGCAGATCTTATTCCATCAGCATAAGATCTCCCATACACAATTGATCCATTCTTTTTATTATTATTATTATTTGGAGGGGTGGGATAAATTTAAGAGTAAAGTTTTGCAAACTCTTGACTGTAAGAAGGTAAAGATGAAAGAAGCAAGAGGATGAAGATGAAGAAGGTGGAGGGGGTAAAAACTGATTTCAAAAAGGTTGAGGGGAAAATTGACTAACCCTCCCCCACTTATAACTATTGGAATTTAGAAGACAATCTGTTAACCCTCGCTTTTTGCTCCCTCTCCATTTAAGACAATACAAACTTCGGATGCCTGGGCTAAGTTAATGGCAATTTTCCCGTACTGAGCTGATAGAATGTGATTTCACCAGGATAGCTAATACCTCCAAAGCAAAATCGGCTCCTTTGCTCCTCGAACAAGTTCAGATTCTAGTCTCATCTCTGAACTGGACAAAAAGAACAATGCTATGCAAAATCTTCCCAAAGAATGTTGATACACAGGCTAGCTAGTGTTTGTTTATTCGCATAAAACTCAACTCTGTCAAACTCATCAACCCAAAACAGTATCACCCCAAATCACACGTGCGCTACGTTTTCCTAGCATTCTGGTCTCATTGTCTCAAGGAAAACATTCAGGATCGGTCCACGAAGACCATCGCCGCCTTTCTGCCTCTCCCCACCCCCGTAACAGACAATGCTGAGCATGCATTACAGACACCCTTGTGCACGAATGCATATGTGTGCATTTATAATCGATGTGCTAATAAGAAGTCCTCACTCTGTCCCTGGTTGGCTGAGCCGCCCCAGCGGGCTTACGTGCTGCGGTCATTTGGGCTGTTCCACAATAGGGATGAGGAACACATGGTTGTTTCCAGGGAATCAGAAAGTCACCCACTGCAGTGACTACCCACTCTCAGCGCCAGTCTCTCCAACTGTCCGCCGCTCTTCAGCCCTCTCCACGTCGTCCCTGAGGTTATTTTTAATGACCTGCCCCCTCCCCCATGCCCCCACCCCCGTGCAACAGAGAGGCAGGGGCTCCCGCAGTCCCCGGCTGCAGAGCGCACACGCTGCGGTGGCGTTGGTGCGGAGCTGGGCCAGCCCGCCTTGCTCACCCCTGCGTCCAGAGCTGGGCTACTGGCTGTTCTCACGGGCGGCTGGGCTCTGAGCTGGGCTCCTGCAGCTTCTCGGGGCCAACCCCCTCCAGGCGCAGGTCCTGCAGCAGCCGCTCCCCGCACCCCACCAGCCTGGCGGCAGCGGTAGCAGCTACAGCCGCACTGCCCCTCTTCATACTTCTCTGATGGCTCCTCTTGGTGCTGTTTGGGAAAACGATTTTTTCTCCCTGCCAGAAACAGATTTCCTACATTTCATCAGTCCTCATAGACCGAGCGGAAGTAAAATGCTTACTTTTTCTGGTGGACAGCAAACGCAATTGACACTGATTTACCCTTCAAACGGGGAGAGATTGTATTACAAGCCCTTGGCAGCAATTCCGAGGTTGGGGCCAAGTTCCAGCCCCCTCCTTGTCCCCCAAACACTAACCTGAGAGGGAAAGGGTGGGGGTGGGGAGGAGATCATATTTAACTCCAGGGTTTTAACAGAGTCAATGGCTTTAGCACAATATTAAAATTGGGTGTTGGAAAAGTTCTGCGTTTCTGGGCAGTGATTCTGCAGACAGGCATGAGCTTTCCAGTAACTTCGGCCACTCTTCCTTCCAAATTGAACATTTTGATGTCTTACAATTCTCTTTAAATGTCAAATTTTAGAAGAGGCTACACTCCAGGCTGTTTCTGTTTTACAAAAGGAAATACGATTCCACTCTTCCTTCTCTCAGCCTCAGTTATGTTGAATGTCAAGAGACAATTTTCTCCAACTGTTGCTTATTAGTACATGTATTCTGAGATGAAAAGTCTTCCATGAAGTCGACGGATGTTCACGTGTCTGCTTCACCTCCAATATACAGTGGCCTCTTGCTGTGTCCTAATTGCCTCAAGTTACTACTTCCAATGAAGGGCAATTGAAAAGTACTATACTTTTTGCTCTGTTTTGTTCTCATGTTCATCAGTTTCATGGATATTTCCAGCCAATGTTTATGATGGTGGTGGCAGTGGCACAGATATTCTGATCCTCTCTTGGGTACCATTTTTAAAATGATGAGTTACCTAACCCCCTCTCCCATAAAACCTACCTGTAGATCCACAATAGCATAGTGATGCAGATAATTTTAAATGTAATTGAAAAAAAAATGCATTTTGCATTTATTATTGCTGTCATCTGGAAGTGGTTATTTTCTCTAAGGCATCCAGAAATGGCATCAGTTATTTGCTTGTAGTGGCAATAAAAATAATGAAGAAAAAGAGAAAACAGATTGAAAAGTTTGGTGGCATTGAACTACACAAGCTTTTTATTTTAGTTCAATTTGGTGTTGCAGCTGTTAGCTACATATTCCTCCTTAGCTTCTCAAAAGAGAGGAAAAAGAGCCATTCCTCATTTTAAGGAAAAACATCATTATTCAATATACATAAATAACAACAAAGCATACAGAAGTGGTTACTGATGAATTTGAGTAAATGAATCTGAATAATAAAGTTTCTCAAAACTTTAGTAGGTAGGTCTGAGTATTTCTACAGCCCCAACAAAGTATTTTGAGTGTCTGAACCTATACAATTTAAGTAGAAAGTCAAAGCTCCTTGAAAATTTTTCATGATTAAAACATCAGCCAATAAATGTTAATTTAAGCATTCTCAGGATATATAATGAGTTCAGAAAACTTAGAACCTTGGACTTTGAAAATCTCATATCCTATTGCTCCCCAGTTGTAAATATTCTTGTCACATTGTTCAATATTGATGTTATAAAAAGCAAAATGTAAGGCAATGTTTTTGTTGATTCAGGAAAATCCTAAATCCAGGTTGGAAAAATAAGGAGGCTTACAAAAGCATTGGAAAAGCATAATCATTATTCAAAATTACTCCCTCTCAGTGTTTATTTCTTCGAACTATTTTTAGTCTTAAATTCTGCATTATATCAGACCTTCTTTCCTTTAAGGAAAAGTCAAAAGAAAAAAATACCAAGATAAATATAGAATATGCTTTTTCTTCCTTTAACATCTAAGCATTGTACTGAATATTTTTTTGGTGACAAAAGAGAAGTAATACAAAAGATTTCTGAAGAGGCATCAAAATAATTTTTTCTTTTAATTTTCATAGCATTTATAATAATTCCCATTTGATATTTATCTTGTGTTGTTCAAAATCAATATTTCTATACATGTATTCCAATCTCTCAGTGATACATTTGTCAAAGATAATATTTTGTCCAAGAATTTTCTTATCTTGGTTTTGTCTCAACCCAAACTGTTCACATTAGGAAACCATAGTCCAACTGACTCAAGCATGGCTTATCTGACATAAAGGTAAAGGAGGCAAATGCTTTACTTAATAAGATGAGAAATGTCTAAGACATTTGAAACTTGAAACTTGATACCATAAAAAAGAAAAGTAAAGCCAAATTTAAAGAAAACAATTTAGTTTTTTCTTTTTAAGTTATCACAGTTACAGGACTTTAATATTAAAAGTTCCTGGGTTACTTTGTGTATTTTAAATCTTCAACATGGTCTTGAACATGAATTGTCCCATTTATCAAATAATAAATTTTTAAAGTTTAAAAATGAGCAATAAAATATTTTTCCTCATCTATAGGTTACCCACCCTTTCTTTCTTTCTCCTTCTCCCAAATGCAAATAATATATACAGTAGTCACTTATTCAGAAAAGTGAAGCAAACCTTCAATGGTTGATTGAGATTAGAGGACACTTAGAAAAAAAAAAATTTAAACTACATGGAAATAGACGCTGGGTTAAAAGTAAGCAAAATAAACTTCCAAAGGTGACTAAGAAATTCTGATATTGTTAAACAGCATCAAAGGGGCAGTTAAAGATGGTAAGCAATAGCCTTGGAGGCAAAGAAGAATAATGATATAGAAAGTAGTAAGAAAACATGCAATGATACTGAAAAAATATATGAAGCAATCTAATAACATAGAACATTTATTTACATTTTATTGAAATACTTCATCAGTGAGGTAAAATATGTTTGTCTTTCCCTATCTATCTCTTAGTCCATGGTAGGGGCCCTCAATTGATATATATTAAAATGTGGTTTTGTAAATGTCATAAGGCAAAGAGAATGAATTTTATAAATCCTAGCATGGTAATTATAAATGGTGTTGGAAATAAAAGCAGACTGTTTTCTGAAATTATAAACAATAAATGCTATTACTTTTCACCACCATTCATATATAAAACTACACAGAATAAATTAAATGAAAAAAATTCTTATGAAAAATTCAAGGTTTGCTCTCCACTTGATATGCGATTTTAAGAATCTATTGCTTTATTCTCAGTGGAAAACTTTAAACTTTGTAAGTAAAACACAACAGTAGCATAGATATTCATTCACTACTGTGCAAGACTCATACTTTTGCAAAATGTGTGTTATATATGAACATGTGTTTTCTAATTTTTCCATAAGGAATACATTAAAATCATTTTATGAAATTTACCATTTATCTCATTTAGTTTTAAATATCCTATGCAATATATTCTGTTGTGTGACTTCCTTGTCTAAATTGGAGTTGGGTTTTTAAAAATTTTTTCCTTTATTTTTCATTCCTTTATTTGCCTTTTATTCCTGTATTTTTGTGGTCTGCTTCTAAATCTTTTTTAAAGAAATCTGTCATTCCAATTACAAGAAGCTCAAATTTAATATAAATGTTAAATGTAAAATAGTTTTGTTTTAATAACTTTGCCTGTCTTTTCCATCTTATATCTCTAACACATAGAATATCATCAGGTATATAATAGGCACTCAATAAATAATTGTTGAATGAATGAGTGTTTATTATAAAAGAAACTGGTATCTTATGAAGCTTACTACTAATTGGTTATATTTTTATATAGTATCTCTAATTTAGTAGTTTGGAACTCAGAATAGAAATAATAATGTTAAAATAATGTTACAAAATGATGGTTTCATTCCCAGCCTAGAAACATTTCATCTGGTAAAATGTAACTGGAGTTCACTAAAACAGATGCTTGCCTGTGTGCCAGGCTTATAAATGAGGTCAGTCTGTGTCACTTGTCACGTCATTAAAAACCAAGGTTCATTTGGACTCAAGTTTTAATCATAACCAATATAACATGAGTGCAACGAAAAGTAATAGAACATATTACTACTGCAGTGGCTTTCAAATGTTTTTGATTGTGACCCACAATAAGAAATACATTATGGAACAGACAAATAGAAAAACACTCAGACACACATAACTAAACATATTTCACAAAACAGTAATTACCTTACTAATTTATTGCACTCAGATAGTTTTCTATTTTACATTATTCTAACCTCGCTATGCTATTCAATTTTTTAAAAATGCTATTGCAGAATTGCTAAATTTGTTTCATGACCCACAGTTTGAAAAAATCTGACTATGAGGAAACTTAACTCAGGGAGAAATCAATAAAAATTGAGATAGGGTCTCAATGAACAAATGGTTTCATTGTAAGTATGAAGCAGATATATTGTATATACTGTATATGCTATCATTTGTAGACTTGGCATGTTGTATTGTCACAACATCCTAAGCATCTTACACCCTCACACTCCATGCCTTTGCTCATGCTAACGAGAATGATCTTTTTATACTTCCCCTTACTTTACCATTTTACTCTCTCCCCCAGAAGAAATCTGATTCATTGTTCTAGGGACAGCTTATCACCTTCTCTGTAGTTCTCTTTACCGCTCTGGCAGAAATACTGCTCATATCTCTATGTCTAGTGCTCTGAGCACTTTGCCATTTCTTCTGTATCTCATTTATAACACAGTATCATGGTTATTTGCTTATGCATCTATCTCACCTAAACTGTGAGTATAGAGGGAAGGGACTAGGTTATTCCTTGTGTTTCAAGTATTTATCACAGGACTAAACCTAACCTTGCTAAACAATTGAATGAATGAATAAATGAACCATCAACCTCTGAATAGTTGAAGAAGAAAATGTGGGTGCCAGTGGGTGTTGGAAGAGATTCAGGAAGGAAGGACTGGGCTTGTCATAGAGGAACTAAAAGGAAATCCCTCTGTAAAGACCACACCAGTTGTTAATTTTACATCTTTGTTGCTAGAAAAATATACACTATAAGTGATATTTTACTATCATGTTTCTGTGACTCTCTTGCAAGTAGACATGAGTCCAGTTATTCATTTATTTTTGAAGACACTAATAATGTCTTCAAATCACTGACAATGACAAACTTAGAATTAATTTGTTGTGGAATGAGAAAACTTGCTGAAATTTCCATTATTGAAACTATGACATATTTCACAAATAAATCTTTGC